ATCATGAACAGAAATAGAATAGTAATGCCACATATTAAATCGAAAAGCAATTTAACAATACTGATGCTAATAAGCATCTTAAAAACTGTAAATAGTTTATCGCGAATTAAAAAATTTTATTCTACGATGAAATAATTATTGAATACCTTTCCGTTTAATTTCAAGTAATATAAAGTCAATATATCAATATGAATGAATAGACAATTGAAAGCCTAAGATAAAATTGGCGCATTATAAGAATAATTAATAATTACTAAAGCGCGGTGTCTTTAAATAATTTAATTGAAATTTGCCATTTGACTATGACTTATTTTTTATTCTTTTGTGCTTGTTATCTGTACTTATATTTTAAAATTCTCTGACTTCTTTTTTTCTTTACACAGTACCTATTATGTAATATTACATACTACTCAAGATTATACTACCTAATTTTTCAGAAAAAAGATATCTACAGAGGGATCAAACGCAGATTTCAAATTACGTTTTAAAAAAATATATATAGGAAGGAAAAACAAGAGATAATACATTAAAGCAAATAAATATTAATAACTTTTTGTTACCATGCTTATGGGTATACATAAATTTATTTCTATGTACGTGAATATACACACACGTATATATCATATTCAATGTAACAAAATATACATAATTACATACAGAAATACATATACCTATATATATCATTTTTAAAAAATATCTTGTTCTATCTTCATCCATGAGAAAATCCTACAAGAAAGAAATAAAATTAACTTTACATGTTTTACTGTAGAAAATTATTGCAGTCTTATTCATCTTTTTTTTATTAAACTATTGCTATGTGAAATTTCTGTTATAATTAAAATATTTTCTATCTTTATTTTATTTATGAGTGTAAAATTTTCTAAAAATAGAAGCGGTTTATCGAAGTGGCACTTCGCAATTGATATTCCGTTGTTTAATACAATTAAAATGAGCCAGTAAATAATCGAATAATCAATAACACGTTGACAACAACAAACTCTATGAATTTTGTATGCGTACATTCTTGAATACATAATACCTAAATCAATGAACAATTATGTATTTTCCACGATTAAATATTTGTATTAATATGTGTTCTATCTATTGCAAAATAATAAATCTGTTGTATTTATCTAATATTATATTCATGGATCTATTACCAAATAAAGTAAAAGATAATTCGAAATTTAACGATGCAATATGCATACTAATTATAAGTGGCAAAGTACAAGATCAAAATATAACAGCAGTAATTTCACAATATCGCCAAATTCAAATCGCCAAAAACATTAACGCATGTTTCATTTTCTATCAAGTTTTCAATTAGATATTTAATAAAATAATCGTATAACTGTCAAAAAAGTTGTCTTCTTAAGCGCAAATCTTTATAAAATTTTATAAATAAAAGTTCTTTTTCTTATTCTGATATAAATCACTTAAATAAACAAACCAAATAAACGGAAATAATTGATTAATTTCGCAAATAAACATGTACTCACCCTACAGATGCTTAACCGTCACTTGATGCCTCCAAGGCTTTTTTTTCCCTTTCTCTTATTTGTTCGTTGTCACTGCTTCTTCGATAGCACTCACACTACTTTAATTCACAAAGACACAGTTAATTACAATCGTACGCGCACTAATCACCGGAACATAACGACTGTGCAGCACTTAAGGCGGCACTTTTAACATTAACTGTTCGCGATGTGTATTTTATTAAATTGCAACGAAAGAAATAACGTGAAAAAAGACTCACTGCAATATTGGTTTTAGTGATATCTTCATATATCTTTTGTTTTTTAATAACGAATAATAACGCACGCGTTGTCGATTTTTAAATGATAAATAAATCATATTTAATATTATTAACTTATCGTACATTTTAAACGATATTTTAAGTAATAAATAAATAAATGTATCGATGACGTAGGAAAAAAATAAAACAAAAAGTTCAATATTGCACATATAACTCACGAAGAACACGTATTATATAATCAGTGGTCGGACACATAACTTTCTGTTAATTGAAATCTGATCCGAAACTATATCCGATGTGTACTATTATATTGCTAATGATAATAATCCGGCGATTCGAGTTACAGTACATTAATAATGGTAAAATTATATCTAAATCAGTAAATTCAACGCTCGATGTAAGATGTATTCAATTCTAAATATTATTAAAAAATAATTATCAGCCGTAAATACTGCCATGGAATAGCGTACAAATCCCATTTTTTACCAATTTTTATTTTAAATAAATAAATTGTGCCTAGATAGATAAATATCTGCTTTAATAAATAACCATTGATAATTTTACCGATTTTACGGATAACGTAGAAATTAATCGCGATTTCTAATAATATAGAAAGTAGATCACGTATATAGCGCGATCGTATATTTCGAGGAATAACGCAACGATATGCAAAAATGACGCATCGTGCGCTACTATGTGCCAGCCGATATGTAAACAGAGCTTTCTACCGTTCCGAAATATTTAACGTTTTATAAAATAAATACCGAATATTCTATCCTTTACACCTTAAAATGTAAATACAAATATATATATATATCTATATAGATATGTATCTATGATATCTATACATAAGAAACTAAAAACTAAAAAGTGAAATCAACCGAACAGCAAGAATCAATATCACGTAAAAATGACGGATCAATACAATTACCGCAAACATGCAAACATTGCATGGTATCATTAGTCAACTTGACTAACTTGGTTTATAACTCTAAAATTATTATAACCTTGACATTTCAATACTGAGATTTTCTCCAGAATAGAAGCGATTAAAATATTATACGATTATAATGAGACACTCTATATATATTACAATATTTCTTTGTAAAATATTGCTTTCTTTTCAGTTACTTCGTAGATAAATACGCGACTCTATCTTTATCTAATTCAAATTCAATAAAATTTGAATTCAACGTTATTTAGTGATTTTAAAAATTTTCTATTAAAGTTAAATAATAATCTATGTCTCTAGTTACTCTATTTTTGTTAGTATGTAGTACAATAAAGTTAATGTTTATTAATATTTTTTTAAAAAAATATTTTATTAATTTGCTATTCCCCTGTAAGAATGTCTCTAGAATATGAATCCAACTTTGTTCGTGGATAGAATGTATGTTTCTTTAGAAAATTTAGAAAATGTACGCGATTAATGGGACAAAAGATGCACGTTTGATAGAATCGGCTGGTATGACGATTGCTTGTACATCGAATAATTTTCCGCGATGCATAGCTTTCCACGTGTACGTGAAACGTACATGGGAACGATTTACATTATTTTATCGCGCAAAAACTATCTATATTATTTTATCGCGTACACTAAGAATACTGAGGGAGATCGAAGCGACGTTATCTCGATTCATTCGTAAACGACTTGGTGCTCGTACTGACGAGACAACAACTTTGCCTAATGCCCTTACTACTTTACTCGTATATAATAATATAATTGCGTTCACCGGCGCACTTATAAAATTCTCTGAAAGCCCTTCGCGCAACAATATATGTGTACGTTTCCAACATGTGTGTATGTATATGTATGTGTATATATATATATATATATATACGTATTTCTCCCTTCTTCTTCAACAACTTGTGATAAAACAGTGCGATCTCGCTAGAAAGCCAACAATTATATGGACGGTTGCGAACGAAATTAATGGAATAGGTTTGTGGAATGAAGATCCCTCATTTACTACGAACGTATTCGCGCAAAATCATTCGATCCTTCATAGTCCTTCATAGGACTAATCTTAAATCGCGCATAGATCTGGAAGCAAATTGACGTTTTGCATATTCTCTTCCTCCTGATACATCACGATTCACCTACATTAATTCTTACACACATATACGCCGCAAATTCTATCGAAAAATATTCTTCGACGACTCTTCACTTTGCGCGATCAAATTCAAAACTATCGATCTACGTTCGAACGCTCGCGCATCCGATTATATATATATTTTTCTTTTTTTATTAATCCTTTGGAAACATTGTAGATATTTTATAATTGCCGTTTTGAGCAATATTCCTTTTCACAACCAGTAATTAGTTGATAATGATTCACGCATTATCGAGGAAAAAATTGCACGCGGTGAATCGTTAACGAGCGCGATTGAACTATGCCATAAAAGCGCGAAATAACCTCTCGCACTTAATTGCACGCAATTATCGTTGTAACCGATAAAGCCCCAAAGGATTAATTCCATGTCCCGAATGTGTCAATCTTTCCAATTTACTACTTCACCTCACAGATCGATCCATACGCGATCGTACCAATTCAACCTCGTGATGTATTTAAATGACAGATTGTCAGTATCCGTCGATATCATTACTAGTAGATATTTCTCCGTGAGAGAATCTAATCAGGACGAAGATCTAATTATGGGACGCGAAATTAACTCACATAAAACACGAAGTGTTCCCGTACGAGAAGAATCTCATCGGTTCCCATCCTATCCACGGTAAAAGCACTTTCTCGCTGTATATAAGCAACAACTTGTAACAATTTATATAAGTCAATATCACCAACAATTTCCAGCAACGCGTTACGTGCATTCGATGTATCGACGTTTCCCTCGAAACTCGCTGATCCGACGAGTTCAAACTGAGCCAACATATGGCATTATCATGCAAAATCACATAGATCATTATTTACTGGTGATAGTTTCTCGAACAATTATACGTTCCATTAAATATCCGAATGTTCCAAATGTAAAAAACATTCATAGGCACGTCTTTATATAATGCATAGATATACCTTTTTCGAAACCTTTTCTTTCTCTTTTTTACCGGAAATCTCTTTCCAAGACTCATCCGAATCGCTCCCAACATCAAAGAATGATAGCAATTACGTAATTTAATCTGCCGACGATGAAAAGCACGTAATATCGACGGTAAAATCCTCGAGCGGTTCGCC